CTAGACAGGGAAGCGGGACCAACCAGAACCCTAGGCTGTTCTACGTGTTTGCGCGTCTTTGGTCCGATCAATAATTCGCTACCCTTAATCAGCAGCATTATTTTCACAGTAATAACAGTTTGTTCCCTAGTATTTGCGTCGAGGTAATTGAAGGGCATCTTTGATTACAGAAAGATATGATTGTGTGTGCATTGTTTACCCTACTCAAGACATATCTGTAGTTGATTTTTGTCTGACTATAAATATTGAGTCTCGCTTCATCAAAATGAGTTGGCTCACTCGTCTTCTCAGCTCCGCATTCTCGTTTCTTATTCTGAACATCTGTCTGGATAAACGAGTGCCTGAAATAAATCCATTCAATGCAACCAGTATTTTGTTTCATATTACCGCCGTCACACAAACGGCGTTAGCCTAGGTAACATACAGAGTTAAATAGAAGATTTATGTTCATGAGATATTCACTCGTTCTTTTAAGCTCGAGTAATATCAGGGGGCTACAAACGACAAACACATTAAAGTATATCAAACAATGATTGCTTTCGATACTAGCTATTCATTAACTCATTGTAATAATTGGTTTGTATCCCGACCGTTGTTCCTACCTTGACGTGATGGTTGGGCTTGCCTATCGTAATGAACCAATCGATCTATACTGGCTGAAACAATCGTTCCTAAAGGTTCTACCATACCGGACAGGTCGGTTGAAGAACGGTAAGGCTAAAAGCGGTAAACCCAAGGTCCGAGGGCGAAGTCGTACTGCTGACTGTACAGAGGTGTGACAGCAGTAAGGTGTTTCCTTCAGACAACCAGCATGACAGCGATGCTGCCTTCCCACAAGGAGGGGTGGGGTTAGAAAAGGTCGACCCTAAAAATGCACACCTCACCTTACCTCACGGATCCGTCTCCGGCGGTAAGGCCCTTTGAAGAACGGAGCTAACACGTCACAAACCTCTCACGAAAAGGCCGTGCGCGACCGGCCTCAAGCAGTTGTCCCTTGGGCACTGCGGTCACGCTCTCAGGTCACTGAGACCACCTCTAATCCAATTTCCTTTTCAGGTACCTCCAGAAGAACCCTTCCACGGTGTGGGCAACCGGGAAGTGATAACCGCCCTCATACTTCTAACAGCACTCAAGACCACTGTATTCATAATCAACCTCCTCTTCAATTCCTATTATTCCTCCTACATCGACTTTCAACTCTAAACTTCCTCCTTCGGCTTCCTCCTCAAGTGTCACCATAGCCAACGATTCTAGTGCTCAAAACCTGTCCCAGGTCTACTGAAACCTCGCTCCAAACTACACATTGGAGCCTTCAACGTACGCACCCTATGTCAAATCGGTCAGCAGGCTTCCTTGGCTAAAACCCTAGAGTCTCTTTCCATTGATGTATGCTGTGTCTCCGAAACACGCATACAGGATTCCAGTGTGGTCATTCACTTGACCTCACCTCGGCAGAACGGAGAGCCAACGAGATACACCCTCCGTGTATCTGGTGACCCGATGGCAAGTTCTCGTGGACTGGCAGGTGTAGGCATAGCACTAAGCATGAGGGCGGAACAAGCACTGCTAGAGTGGATCCCCGTCAACAGTCGTCTATGTGCTGTTCGGCTAAACGGCTCCGTAAGAACTCGGAAGGATAGGGACACACGTCGTTGCCTTTTTGTCGTTTCTGCCTACGCTCCCACTGACTGCAGCTCAGATGAAGTGAAAGATGAATTTTACAGAAAGCTGTCCGAACTTCTTCAGAAAGCTAAACGCTCAGACATAGTACTCGTAGCAGGTGACTTTAATGCTCAGATAGGTAGTTTAAACCAAACAGAAAGGCATTTAGGTGGATATTTTAGTATTCCGGCACAGCGAACAGATAATGGTGATCGTCTGCTGCAACTGTGCTCAGACAATCGTTTATTTTTAGCAAACACAAATTTTAAGCATAAGGAGAGACATCGTCTAACATGGCGACCCCCTACACCAAACCAACGATGGACTCAAATAGACCATATTGCCATCAGTCATCGTTGGAGAGGGTCGGTAGAAGATTGTCGCTCATTCTGGAGTACCTGCTTGGACTCCGACCATGCCCTAATACGGGCACGCATCTGCTTGCGCCTCACTGGACGCAAAAAAGCCACATTAAAAAGACCCATTAGAACTGAGTTGAGTAACGAGAAAACCAAAAGTAGGTTCCAGGAACAACTGAGGTCACACTTAGGTAGTTCTGAAGACGAGGCTGACCCAGATGTTGCTTGGAAGACATACAAGCAGCTGTGGAAACAGCAGTGACATCTATTAGTGACTTAAACCACAGAGTTACAAAGAACCAGTGGATTTCTTCAAAGTCTATCACACTGATGGATTCTCGCAAACTCGTCCCATCAGGTTCTGAACATGATGAAGAGCGACAACAAATCAGATCTAGGTTAAGAAAAAGTCTAAGGAACGACCGTGAGCAGTGGTGGGCAACGAAAGCAAAAGAGATGGAAAAGGCGGCGACTATAGGGAACACAAGACAGCTTTACAGACTAATAAAAGAAACTGGAATTAATAAGTCAAGTGTAAGTGAGATTATTTCGGAAAAAGACGACACTCTGCTCCCAGTCCAGACGTTTAGAACGATGGGCGGAACATTTCAGAGAACAGTTCAGCTGGCCTTCAGCTACTCTACAACTACCCTCCATTCCCAGACAGTGTGAATGGAACATTGAAGTAGGTCCCCCAACTCTTGCTGAAGTTCAAAAGGCTATAGTTAATCTGAAACGAGGAAGGGCAGCTGGTCCAGATGGATTGGCTCCAGAGGTCTTTAAGGATGGTGGTCCAATTTTAGCGATTAGGTTGACTAATATTTTAGCTAAGATCTGGGAGTTAGACGTTATCCCATCTGACTGGTCACAATCACTTATCGTCCCAATATATAAGAAAGGGTCAAAATCATCCTGTGACAACCACAGAGGGATTAGTTTAACTAATATAGTATCTAAAATACTAGCCTCGATAATTATCAGACGCCTAACTAAGACTCGTGAACTGCAAACACGAGAGAACCAAGCTGGCTTTAGACCTGGTCGTGGCTGCATCGACCACATATTCACCATTCGTCAGGTTCTAGAACACAGGCATACTTATCGGCGTCCGACAATGGTGGTCTTTCTTGACTTAAAAGCAGCATTTGACTCTGTAGACCGCGAGATTCTGTGGCAGTGTCTGTCATTGAAAGGCGTACCTCAGAAGTACATAAACCTTGTGAAGGCTCTTTACTCGAACACTACTAGTCGAGTCAGAGCTTATGGCGAACTGTCATCTACTTTTGCAACCTCAAGTGGTGTCCGTCAAGGCTGTCCACTTTCTCCATTTTTGTTTAACTTCATCATAGACCTATTGATGGAAATAACATTCTCGTCGACTGAATTCTCGGGTATTGATCTCCTTCCAGGAGGTCCACTTATCGACTTAGAATACGCAGATGACATAGTCCTGTTTGGTGAAGACGCTGACAAAATGCAGAGTCTTCTGGTAGCACTAAGCAACAATGCCAGAATGTTTGGAATGCGCTTCTCTCCCTCTAAATGCAAGTTGTTGCTTCAGGACTGGTCTGCGTCAACACCTGAACTAAGGATAGGGAGTGAAGTAGTCGAACGCGTTGACAACTTCACTTATCTTGGAAGTCTGATCAGCCCTAATGGGTTGGTGTCTGACGAAATCTCAGCACGGATTCGTAAAGCTCGTTTGGCTTTTGCCAACTTACGTCACCTTTGGCGGAGGCGAGATATCCGTCTATCAATAAAAGGACGAGTATACTGCGCGGCAGTCCGTTCTGTTTTAATTTACGGCAGCGAAACATGGCCATTAAGAGTAGAAGACACTCGTAAGCTACTAGTATTTGACCACAGATGCCTTAGAAATATTGCTGGCGTCTGCTGGGATCACCGGGTAAGTAATAGTGAGGTTAGACGCAGGGTATTAGGGAATGATGGTAAATCAGTTGATGAGGTTATGAATCTTCATCGACTGAGATGGTTGGGCCACGTGTTACGTATGCCTGAACACCGATTACCACGACGTGCAATGCTATGCGGTATTGGAGATGGTTGGAAGAAAGTTAGGGGCGGCCAAACCAAAACGTGGCATCAGTGCTTGAAGTCACTAACTTCTAGTCTGAGCCATGTTGGTAGATGCAGACTACTTGGTTGGGGTCCGCGTGACTATCGTAACCAATGGTTGGAGACTATGTGTGACATGGCTCAGAATCGATCACAATGGCGTCGGTGTATACACTCTTTGTCTTCCCTTAAACTAAGAGATTAAAATCGCTTCATATCTTTCTTTCTACGAACCAATTGTTTCTTGTATTATATCTCTATATGCAATCTTTCTCTTATATATTACCACCTTTGACCTAACCACTGCTATGAATCCGGTGTTCATCTTGTTGTGCTGATGCGGTATGGCAACCTGGACCGATGCACATATGTGCCTGGTCCTACGTTGTAGCTGACTGGCTGACTGAATTGGTTTGTATACTTCCGTTGAATAACTCATTCCATTCGAGATATATTCATAAAATACAAAAATCCAGATACATTAGATTCTTGACCTTTATAGCTCGAATAGTTGATTTTCTTTCAAGTTTGATCCCACCAGTCCTATTTGATAATTAGAAGTATTCGAATTGGTTTGCTGACTAATAATTTCCGAAATAATGTAATTTTAGGCAGGTAGATGAACACAACTGAACGTATTATAATAGTAATTCATAATAAGCACCCAATCAAGCGCAAAGGAATCATCACTTAGTACAGATATCACATCGTATTACAATCAAAGTATAACAGCATTATTCAAATGATATTCATTTCGATTGTTCATTGTTGTTAGTAATAAGGGTTAAATAAAAATAAGACAAAATGAAAAATATCTGATAATTTATTGTAAAGACAACATTGTTTGGTGAATATTCCAGCGTATGATTTTCTGAATGTTCGAAACGACTGACAGTAAACGATTTAACTTCCTAATAATAAAGTTTTCATATTCTTTAAATTTAAGAATGATGATCTGAAAAGGTACCTAAAATTATTAAATAAATGAAAGATCTCGGAAGTTAATCTGCTTTTGTTGCTGTATATTTTTAATACCTTTATTTATAGTCCATCGTTTATAAAATGCTTGAGAATATGATGATGTATATATTGTTTTCACAGGCAAATGGAAATTTAGTCATCTGAATACTGATAAAGATGTCTGTGTTGTTTATATAAGACAATGAATACTTTGAAAATTCTTGCTGGCTAGCTTTATATATCATAAAACCTATTCATTTGTGCTCATGTTCTTCTTAGTTCTGTAGGGTTAATAGAATATGATTAGCACACTCAAGGAAATAAATATTTCATTAATTCCAAACAATAATAATTATTATTATTTTGTATGAAATCAACGAATTTAGTGCCTCTAACCTTAACAGAAGTTGGTAGAGTTCAATTCTGAAGTAACGTATCCTCATTACATATAAAAGATCATGGCTAAGGCATGAAAGAATAATCCACTACTTTCATATGCCTCTAAAAAATTTTGTATGATATGCAATAAGGTTAATAAAATAAACTGTAAGTAGATCATGGCTGGTTGAACTCACCAAAAATTGAACAAATAACTCCTTCAATCAAATGAATGACATTTTAGTAACGGTATAATTAATTCCTGAAAAGTAATGACTACATTTCCCTACTCTGATGACTATTTATGTGATTTAGTATTGTTTTAAAATCTTTGCTTGAAAATAGTAAATAATGTGTCTTTGGATCCTATTAAGATTAAGTCGTTTAAACAACTATTATGACATACTTCTCGCTTTATAAAAATTCTGAAGTTCCATTTGTTCCACATAACTTTCAGTTAGGCTGATAACAATTAAACTAATCACTCAACATATTATTAACATACTATATATAGACGATATCACATATGTAGTGATCGAAGCTAAAATTAATTTACAAGTCACTTATAGAATTACGTTTTTACCATCTTTTAGAAATGGTATAAAAGTTTTTTTTTAAATAACCTTTTGGAAATTGTAGAAGTACCATTTCATCCATACAATGATAAATATTTGACTGTAGACACTTCAGTAATCAAGTATGAATAAATTGGTAAATCTTACTTTTGATTTATTGGATGAAACTCTAACATGATAAGATAGAATATATGATATGATGTGATATATATATATATATATATATATATATATATATATATATATATATATATATATATATATATATAAAGTTTACAATATGTTTATGGATATTTTGGGGAAAAAACTATTCACATTGTTCAGAAATGATAATATCTGATCATTGAGCTCTACCAGGATTTCGATTCAAAATTATCTACAAAGTCAAATAAATTAGTTTTAAACGAAACTGGATCATAAATTTGTGAATGGTTGAGGCTATGGTAATTCATCATTTCGAACATGATCTTTTTTGTACAGTAGCGATATATCCAATCACTTATTATTACCGTAATCCTAATCCCCCATCCCACCGTTTTTTTGTTTTTAACAGGTATTTGTACGGATTTTAGAACGTTTTGCGACCACAAACTAGCTTAAATTAGAAAACCATGGAAAACACAGAAGCACTGCACATCTGTTTCATTCTATTACAGGACTTCTCAGAAAATTTCATCTTCTGTGTGAGGCAGGTACCCACCGAAGATAATAGAAAGTGGTTGCTCAATGTTGCAAATCGCTTTAAGTTAGACTGGTAAACTACTGGGTGTCGAATTAGTAGCCTAAAAGTTAAGCTCCAACCAGACGACCTGAGATCCTTGGGTTCGATTCCTGGGATGCTTGTTGATGCGCACCCGTAAGGAGTCAAGTACTAGAATGAAATAGCTGTCTTGTGCTTCCACATTCTCAATGGTTTTCTACTTCAGGTTAGTTTTTGATTAAAGCGAGGCAGTTAGTTAAATTAGTTGAATTTAAACTATGACAATGTAAAAAAAAAGAACATGTATACATGCTTATCAGACCATTTTATAATCAAAATGAGTTATTAAATGGGTTATTAAGTTGAATCTTTTCTGACCATAAAGATCAGATTTTTAATTCATGTTCCTATCGCTTTTTCAGTCTAAAAGAGTCGAAGGAGTCACAACTTAAATACACTTGAAACGGGTATCAGTTACAATACTGTGTATTTTATTCTGAGAATTCTTTATTGTGACATTAAAACAATGTATTTGTAATATGTAATGAGTGAACAATTGAATTTCTAACATTTCGCAACTCATTATAAGTCGCGTCCTCAGACAAAATGAACAAAGTTGTCTGGATCGAATTAAATATTTTGATTTGTCTCCATGTACTAATTAAACTTGTGTTGATCTAGTCTGATTATTTATTCATTCTCCAGAGTAATGACTTGGAGAATCGGAGTATTACAAATGTATTACTTTATAATCATGATACAAACCAATTGATAGACAATTCAATCAAAATTACCAAGTGTGACCTTGGTGAAGATGATGCCAACTAACCTTGTTCACTGAACAAATCAAAAACTTAGAAAATAAAGAACAAAAATACAATTTACAAATTAGAATGAATGAAGTGGATCAAAATTTAAAAAAGAAAATTTTCAATGTTTTACATTTCTGAGCATTTTACCATCAAATACTCACAACTGACTACATATTGATAGACGAAGTATACACCGGTTGCTAACGTCGAATTGATGCCAACTTTAGTTTACTAGTCATTTTCCTGTGAACTTATATCTTTGATTATTGAGAGAAAAATAACATTTATTGCCACTATTTTTAATAGTTATCGATCTGAAATCAGTTTAAATATTTTACGTTTGTTTAAAAGCTTAATTGATATAGTTTAAACATGCCAAGAGTGAAACAGTCATCATCAGTGATATCCAATGATCTTCGTACTGTATCATGAAGTTATAAAGGTCGAAAACGTGTACCATTTGGGAATAATCCATTGTTCTAATGATAAAACGTTCACCAAAATACCCGAAGCTGCTAGATTTGCAACTTTATATGGTTGTGGATGTTCTCTAATGAATAGGCCCTTACTAAGAAAAAAGTATATCTACTATCGCACGGTTCTCAATAATACCACAGGCGAAGTCAATTCTTGACGAATTCCATCTGCAGATATTGTGTGTATGTGTTTGTTTAATGAATAGATAATAACAATTTACATTATCAGTTTATTATTTAACAAATTAAGAATGCATAGTAAAGAATATTTAGCGGGTAAAAAGTAACGAGCCCATGTACGTATATCAAGTTCATATGGGATAAAACGTTATCATAGAAATTGTTACATCTTGCAAAACACCGAAACAAACTTACTTACTTACGCCTGTTAACCGCCGTGGAGGAGCATAGGCCGTCCACCAGCACTCTCCATCCAACTCTGTCCTGGGCAATCCTTTCTAGTTGCTATTCATCCTTATCATGTCTGCTTCCAATTCCCTACTCAGTGTATTCCTTGATCTTCCTCCTTCCGTTTACCTTCAGGATTCCAGGTAAGCACTTGCCACGTGATGCAGTTTGGTGGTTTCCGCAATGTATATTCTATTCACCTCCAGAGTCTTGTCCTAATTTTCTCTTCAGCTGGAAACTGGTTTGTTCTCTCATACGGTATGCTGTCGCTGATGGTATTCGGCCAATGGATACTGAGTGCCTTGCCTAAACAACTGTTTATAAATACTTGTACCTTTTTGGTGATGGTTATAGTAGTTCTCCACGCTTCAGCTCCGTACAGTAGGACTGTCTTGATGTTCATATTAAAGATTCTCACTATGATATTAGTGTATGAAACACTGAAACTACTACAGATGTAGTTTAATGTCTTACAATGAATATATGTAATTTACTCCAGTATATGTTTACAGTTTAATTCAATTCATACCATGCCACCAAGCTTTTTATTCATTGCTTTTGTTTCGATCGGTATTTTGTTTGTGTTGCTAAGAAAAAAAAACTCCGACCGAAACGAAAGCAATTTGTAGTAGTTTCAGTGTTTCACACAGCATTTTAAACTGTATTTATTTAATGAAAGAAGAAAAAATGCACTTCATACTCACATCCATCACCAACTTCTGTTTTATTGTATAAGAAAAAAGAGAGAGAATATGGTCAAAATAGTAACTTTATATCATTAAAAGTTATGCAACTAGTATTATATTTAGAAACAAACAGTATATAGTAGAACAAGATATCACTTATTGAATTAAGATTTAATTGTTAGTTAGCTAGTATATCCTTTACACTAGTCTCAGAACAAGACTAACCAGTTGTTTACTATTTCATAATTTCTAATGGATCATTCATTAATAAGTAGAAATATTTACAATTTGATCTAATCATAATTTATGTAATGACATTGTTCTTGTACATATAAAATGCAACATTCAATTGAATAGTAGGTTCCATTAATTATATTCATAACTCTTAGTAATTTGAAACTGTTAGGATGTGCAGAAAAATATACTAATAATTATCATGTTAAGTCTAATGGTGGCCTTGGACTTTAAATGTACACTCCCTATTGGTCGATATTTATTTCACTTGTTAAATACTGTACAAATGTTGTTTTCTATTTTATGGTACGATGTGGTCTGATTGGTTGGTATATAAACAGAGTATGTCTGAAATACAGTGATTCATATCTCAGAGGCTGGGACTGGTGTTCTGACTCAACTGGCTGGGCTAGACAGCGAAGCAGGGCCAGTCGGGACTCTAGGCCATCCGTGCGTGTTTTCCGTGTCACAGTAATCGATCGGTAAATACGCTGCTCCATCTAAACTGCAATCCACACGTTACAACAGAAACAAATGATATAAATAATTCACTTGGTATTATTTGGCTTGTATCTTCCCATTGAGGTTTAAGACTGCAATTGATCAGTCTGTTATCAGCATATGTGCATACTGTGCGTATGCCTCGATATCGCCTTAATTCACAAGCTTTTTGTAAGCAATGGTGGATAGTGGCTAGCAGCGGAATCCAGGACGCGCATTTCTTCCTACTTGGGACTCGTCAGCTGGATGTACCTGCATCTCAGAGAGTTAATGTTCACTCTGGGACTCGAACCCAGCACCATCCGCTTAAAATGCCATCGCGTTATCCACTTAGCTACTGAGTCCTGATAGCCACTTGCTTGTGCAATGGGATGAATTTCAATTCACTTGGTATTATTTGGCTTGTATCTTCCCATAGATATAAATAGTTTTATTGACTTTTGACAATTTCCTTGGTATCCAACCTAGGTGAAATACTTTTGTTTGTATGAAAGGATAAGTATATATACGATAGTTTACTGAGTATTCTCATTTATAGCTGTTAAACATAGTTTTATATTATACTTGAATAAATGTATCTTCAGATAATTAGTCATTTATATTGAAAAAATTGAGGTTAGTAATATTTAGGTTAGATATGAGATCCTAGATAGAAATAGAAATGCATAACATAGATATTAACCGCTATTTAATTGACATAATATACTAATACGCATAGTACGAGGTTATAAGTGAATATCAATCCTTGGAGCTATTCATCATTGATCTAAGATTTAAAAAGGTATAAACAGAAAATCTTTCAACAGTCTTAATTTGATTCACTATAGAATATTAGCACTTTTATATTAAACTGAAGGTCATCAACGTTTTAATGCAATAAATATTCGCTTACTTTTTAGGAATGACTCTTTAAAACAATCATATTTGAAAAAAAACAGAGCAATATATATTCCATATAAAAGAGATATCATTATATTAGAGTGAAGTATCCTGATATTGATCGATTATATGTGTTGTTCCAATTTACAATGTTAAGTTTCGTTTAATAATATTTAGTGGCCCTGAATCTGATTCCAATTGGATCGTATGAATGTTATTGAAATACATATGTCGGTTATCTTTGTATATAATCATCGACTTGATTCACGTTAGGGAATAACGGGATTAAATGAATCAAATATGAAAATGGATCTTCGAATACATATATATTATTTACTCTCATTGATCTGAACAGGCAATCAAAGAGACGAAGCGAAGGAAGCAAAGAGAAGATAGTGAAGCAAAACGACGAGCAGTGCAGTAGGCGTGTGAGCCAACTCCATTTAATCAAGCGTTATTTATAGCCAGATAAAAATAAGTTATAAATATGTGATGAATAGGATAAAAAGTGTACACACATACGCTCAAATAAAAACAGTCAGGGTTGATAAGTGAATAATTAACAAGGTCAAAATGTGACTCAAGAAGGGTGGATAAATTGGCCTGTCAAGTAGCTAGATACGTTATATGGGCTTAACACAGTAACCAACACTACAAGATCCAAACTAACTTCATCAAACAAATACATAAAAAAGAAATATTTCTGTTCAGTTTTACAGTGTACTTCAACTCTGTTTAAAAAAAGATATTTGTGTTTCTTTTTTTTGAGGGGGGGGGGTAATTGTTTATCTGAATATTTGACTGATCATGAAACTTGATGATACGTTCGTATAGTTCGATTTTCCAATAATGGACACTCAAAATTCTGGCTTATGTATTCAATAACCTATATATTGTTACTTATTTCATTTTTGAAATCATTCTCTACAATTTCATGATTATGAACCAGGCAAAATTAGTTGCATCTCCAGTTGGGCTAATAAATTAAAATGTTTATTCATTTAGTCAGAGGAAATATCTTCCCGTTGGTTTTTACCAACTTCAAACTTACAAATAAAAACGCAAACAAGTAAATCAGTTCAATATTAATGAACTGAATACTGTCTGTGATATGTCATTTAAAAGTAGTCGCCAAATCAATAGATCTCAATAACACAGTTAATAAATAAGGAGGCAGAACTATGAGGCAATCGATATTTAAATAACATTTGATTTGCGTTCAAGCATCCACTTGTAAAATATTCCAGAAAGAAATGAATCGACTACAAATATCATCTGTAGTAAGTCCCGACTCACAACTCTGAGTATGGCACTTTATTCGTGAACTTACGTGGTCAGCCAGGTAGAGATTGGGCTTCACCCCATTTTATCGTTATATGGATTATCCGAAAGGGGCGTATTGTAAGGATAAATGTGAAATGCAGAACTGGATAAAGAGTTTTTCCTTCTGGTACATGTTATATGCGAGCGAAGATTAAATCGCGAGTAACTTCTGAGACATATTAATTGACTAATATTACCTATATATTCTTATGGTGTAACTATTCAATAATTAGATTATGTATATTTATATTCCCATTATTATAAGCTTCATTTTGACCTATAATCTATTATTATACGATTTAATTTCCCTAAATTATGCTCAGTTTACTAACTACTGCCTCCCACGTTCACAGCCACTTTTTGGCTTTATTGTGTACAGATATTATTTCCTATTTTATGGTACGTTGTGGTCCGTCTGGTTGATATATAAACACAGTATGTTTGAAATAAATGATTCGATTCATATTGCAGAAGCTGGTAGTGAATTCTGGACTTAAGCGAACGAGCTAGGCGGACATAGGACCAATAAGGACGCTAGACTGCTCATACCGGTTGAACGTCATTGGTTTGGCATAGTGTTAAGATTGTATAAGTCATATTTAGATTTGTGGATAAATCACGTGATAAAAGCCGGACATAAAATCATAACAGTACATGAGTGAATTATCTCTAGGAGGGTCCAGTAGGTCTGATGCAAACCAGAGTAATGGCTATAAACTGTTCTGTAACTAGTACATAGGGCCCGATCGAAGCTGCTACCTTGACGCGGTGATCGGGCTTGCCTATCGTGATGACCCAACCGAGCTATATTGGCTGGAACATATGTTCCTGCAGGTTCTACCATGCCAGGCAGGTCGATTGGCGAACGGTAAGACTAAAAGCAGCAACTCAAGGTCTGAGGGCGAAGTCGTACTGCTGACTGTAGAGAGGTGTGACAGCAGTAAGGTGTTTCCCTCGGACAACCAGCATGACAGCGATGCTGCCTTCCCACAAGGAGGGGTGGGGTTAGAAAAGGTCGACCCTAAAAATGCACACCTCACCTTACCTCACGGATTTCCGTCTCCGGCGGTAAGGCCCCTTGAAGAACGGAGCTAACACGTCAAAAACCTTCCACAAAAAGGCCGTGCGCGACCGGCCTCAAGCAGTTGTCCCTTGGGCTCTGCGGTCACGCTCCCAGGTCGTCAAGACCAACACTAATCCAATTTCCTTTTCAGGTTCCTCAAGAAATACCCTTCCACGGTGTGGGCAGCCGGGAAGTGACATCAGCCCTCATACCCGTAACAGCACAAGAGACCAAGGTGGTCACATTCAAATCCTTCCTACACCTCCTAATACTTCTCTTATCCTCCCGACTAACCCTCCTCACGTCTTTTTATCACCTCGCACCGCTAGGGCAAACGATTCGAGTACGTGGAACGCCATTCCTGGTCTCCTGAAACCACGCTCTAAACTACACGTAGGAGCTTTTAACGTACGAACACTTTGCCAAATAGGACAGCAGGCTTCCTTAGCTAAAACTTTAGAATCTCGCGCCATCGATGTGTGCTGCGTCTCCGAAACGCGCATACAGGATCCAAGTAGCGTCATTCATTTGACCTCACCATGCCAAAATAAAGAACCGACTCGATTTACGCTTCGTGTATCTGGAAGCCCTGATTCTGCTTCCCGTGGCCTCGCCGGCGTAGGTATAGCATTGAGTCCTAGGGCAGAACTAGCTCTCTTAGAGTGGATCCCAATAGACAGTCGTTTGTGCGCTGTCCGACTGAACGGAACAGTAAGAATCCGGAAAGATAGGGACACTCGTCGTTGCCTCTTCGTCGTCTCTGCCTATTCTCCCACTGACTGCAGCTCAGATGATGTAAAAGATGAGTTTTACAGAAAGCTTTCGGACCTTCTCCGAAAAGCTAGGCGCTCGGATGTAGTAATAGTGGCCGGTGACTTTAATGCTCAAGTAGGCAAACTAAGTGATAAGGAAAGACACCTAGGTGGATCTTATGGTGTCGTGGCTCAAAGAACAGATAATGGCGACCGTCTGTTGCAGCTATGCTCAGATAACCGCCTGTTCCTTGCAAATACTAACTTTAAGCATAAGGAAAAACATCTTTTAACATGGCGACCCCCTAATTCGTCCCAACGTTGGACCCAAATGGATCACATCGCTATCAGCCACCGATGGAGGGGCTCGATAGAAGACTGTCGCTCATTCTGGAGCACATGCCTAGATTCAGATCATGCTCTAGTGCGAGCGCGTATTTGCTTGCGTCTTACTGGACGTAGGAAAGACCCTGCAAGGAAACCTCTTAGGGCCCTACTTAATGATAGTCAAGCTAAGAGTATATTTCAGGAACAACTAGGAAAACAGTTAGGCAGCCATGTATGTGATGCCCACCCCGATGCAGCATGGAATGATATCCGAAAAGCTGTGGAAACAGCAGTGATATCTGCTAGTAAGGTAAACCAGAAGGTTAGGGAGCAACACTGGATCTCAGCAGCATCTATCTCACTGATAGATGCTCGGAAACACATTCCACCTGGCTCTGAACATAATGAAGAGCGGAGTCAGCTTAAGCGCAAGCTGACAAGAAGTCTACGCAATGATCGCGAACAGTGGTGGGTAGCGAAAGCAAGAGAGATGGAAAAGGCAGCGGCAATAGGTAATAGCAGACAATTGTTCAGACTCGTTAAGGAAACCGGAATTAGGAACCCGACCGTTAGCGAAACAATCTCAGAGAAAGATGGACATATTATTCATTCTCAATCCAGGAGATTGGATCGATGGGCAGAACACTTTAGGGATCAGTTCAACTGGCCTTCAGCCACACTTCGGTTTCCCACGATCTCCAGTCAACCTGAATGGCAAGTTAATGTAGGTCCTCCGTCCCTTTACGAAGTTGAAAAAGCCATAGGAAATCTGAAACGAGGGAGAGCAGCAGGCCCTGACAGGTTTACTCCTGAGATTTTTAAGGATGGTGGTCCAGTATTAGCAATGAGATTAACTGAGGTCTTAGGTAGAATTTGGGAACTGGACGTAATCCCATCTGACTGGTCTCAATCACTGATTGTGCCAGTTTTTAAGAAAGGACAAAAGTCCTCTTGTGACAATCACAGAGGAATCAGTTTGACTAATATAGTGTCTAAAATATTAGCTTCAATAATACTTCGACGCCTAACTAAAGCTCGTGAAGAGCAGACTAGAGAAAACCAGGCTGGTTTTCGACCTGGACGTGGTTGTATAGATCAGATATTCACACTACGTCAGGTTCTAGAACACAGACACACATTCAGACGCCCCACAATGGTAGTATTTCTCGACCTTAAGGCGGCATTCGACTCGATTGATCGTGAGGTTCTATGGCAGTGTTTGTCACTGAAAGGAGTACCAAAGAAGTACATTAACCTTATAAAGGCTCTCTACTCGAACACAACTGGTCGAGTGAGAGCTTATGGCGAACTGTCATCAGAATTGATCACCTCAAGTGGTGTTCGTCAGGGCTGTCCACTCTCCCCATTCTTGTTCAACTTTGTGGTCGACGTACTTTTAGAGATAACACTCTCCTCATCTAAATTTACAGGGGTTGAACTTCTACCAGGAGGTTCACTTGTTGACTTAGAATATGCTGATGACATCGTTTTATTTGGTGAAGACACTGACAAAATGCAGAGTCTTCTGACCACTCTAAGCAACAATGCAAGCATGTTCGGGATGCGATTCTCTCCCTCGAAATGCAAAATGTTGCTTCAGGATTGGGTTACATCGACACCCGAACTAGTGATAGGGAGTGAAGTAGTTGAGTGTGTCGACCGCTTCACTTATCTTGGAAGTCTCATCAGCCCTTGTGGTTTAGTGTGTGACGAAATCTCAGCACGGATACAGAAGGCTCGACTAGCTTTTGCCAACTTGCGTCATTTATGGCGTAGGCGAGATATCCGTCTATCAACCAAAGGACGTGTTTACTGCGCAGCAGTTCGTTCCGTCCTACTTTATGGCAGTGAAACATGGCCGGTAAGAGTAGAGGATATTCGTAGGTTACTAGTATTTGATCATAGGTGTCTTCGAAACATTGCTCATATATCATGGGACCATCGAGTAAGTAACACAGTTGTTAGGAAACGGGTACTAGGTAAGGATGGCAAATCAATTGATGAAGTAGTGAAACTTCATCAGTTGAGATGGCTGGGACACGTGTTACGTATGCCCAACGACCGACTGCCTCGACGTGCTATGTTCAGTGGTATAGGAGTAGGTTGGAAGAAAGCTAGGGGCGGCCAAACCAAAACATGGCACAAGTCCATGAAGTCACTGACAAGTGAACTGAGTCATGTTGGTAGGTGTAGACTACCTGGTTGGGGACCGCGAGATGACAGCAACCGATGGTTAGAGACCCTGAATGACATGGCTCAAAATCGTTTGCAATGGCGCAGGTGCATCCACTCTCTGTGTTCTCCCAAATTCTAATCTTCTGAATTCTTCATGTCCCTTTTTTTCCTCTTTCCAAATTTCTTTCACTGGATTATACTCTTTAAATAACATCTCCAAACCCTAATCTTCCCGATTACTGCTTATACTCTTATTACCTCTACCACTACGGGATTTGAATCGACAAGTGCATCTCTGTGCTAATGTGGTGTGGCAACTCGAACTGATGTACGTACGTACGAAGTTCTACGTTGTTACTGACTGACTGACTGAGTACATAGGGGCTGACACTAAGATTGTTTGTGGTATAGACGACCCATAACCCTAATGGTATAAAGGTAAGTAATGTATTCATTTACTACCACTGTTGGAGTCAACCAAACCATCTTTACCTATGTGTATACTATGAAGTGTAAAGCCTCGTTCTATGTATTCTATGTATGCATGTAACGTATAATTGCTAGCGGAATCATCTATATCTATTTGTTTACTTTAGAGCGCATAGGTGTCTGAGGTGTACATTCTCTGTATACATGTAACGCATACTTGCAATGTTTTCCACGTTCTGTACAGGTGTATTCACTTTAGCTTGTAGGGACCTACTTTTATGAAGAGAACGCGATTGGTATAATGGAAACAATTATTATAATAACCAATTGTACCAGTGATTGTTTTACTGTACCTGTTTGTTTAACTGTATTAAAACCTTACCTTCTTCCCTTAACTGTGACGTTGCACGCATTCGTGTACTCTACGTATTCCCGCTTGTACTCTTTGGCACGATCTCGGTATTCTTTCGACACCACGAGATTGCCAACAAATATATTCTATTAAGACCGTCAATTGCCTTTTGGTTTTTTGGTCTATGAAGGGATCAAACCTAATATCTGATAAGTAATCTTCCTGTAGTGGTGACTCGACGCCCATTACAAGCTCTAAAAGCCTTTGGTTTATTACAAAGTTTTAGGATGAAATAGGAAGATGAAACTGTATATAAGTAAACTGATAAGGTGTCCGTCTGCTGCACACAAAGTATAGCTGAATTGAATTGCCTACTTGCACAAAAATTATATCAAAGTAAAACTGCTAAAATATCGGTTCGTTTTAGCGTTTTCCTGTGCTCCAGTCTCTCACCTATTTACTAAAGATCTTTTATTTTTTTCCTGATAACCCAATTGGCCTTCATACGTAGTTGGGTCAAGTTAAACAAACCAATATCATATGAATTTTATTAAATTCGTTCAGAAAGATTCGATTCGGTCTGGTCATCTAAAAAATGTGTTTTTTATGGCAGGCCTGTGTGAAGGAGGAGGTTTACGCATGGGGTCAGCATCCCTATCCCGTAGAAAACAACCTTGCTGAAAAACGCTTACAAGAACAAACAAATTAAACCACTTAAACTCTGTCCTCCTAGAAGAAATATGACGCTTCATGGTGGAAGCCAAAATTCTTCGGAAATCATGAGGCCAATAACTCTTCTAACAACCTGAGCAATAATTAATGTAGGTATATGGAATGTCCGGACAATGTGAGAGACCGGAAAACCAGTAAAATAGATACGGAAATAAGGAGATACAACTTGGCAGTGCAATGAATAAGTGAAGCCCATTGGAATCAAGCTGTAGAGAAAAGATTAGATTCGGGAGAGATGCTATTGTACTTTTTTATGAACAAGAAAATGTTTTGCACACACAAGGAGTTGCACAGATACTGTTTGAAGAAGCACAAAAAACGCTTATAGAATGATGATCTCATGAATCCGGGATCATCGAAGTGTCTTTCAAACCTGCCATGACGGGCCGTGTCCGATACTGATACTGATACACGACGTGCTGCGCGCTAACTACACAACTGTCTACTTGAGCGAGAACACAATGGTGAAAGAGAAAGCATATTAGGCTACCAAATGAAATGCACAAATACTCATTTTTATATGAACAGCTCTGCCTTTTAGGAAATTAACCCACCTCTTAACCAATGAAATGCACCAGTCCTTCAAATCACTCCCGAATGCGATCGATTGATCTTCTCATTAGTCTGATTCTGAATAGCTTATCACATCAAAAAAGAACGGGAGGATCATAATGAATGTTTTCCAGTGCTATGCACCCACCAGTGATGGCAACGAATACGATAACGACCAGTTTTATGAAGGGCCGCAGTTGATCGTACAAAAATACCCATGAAAGAACCTGACCATCCTGATGAGAGACTTAAACGTCAAAGTCGAAATGGATAACACCGGGTATGAAGATATCATAAGACGACATTGACTGGGAGAACGAAACGAAAATGGTGACAGATTCGCAAATTTAATTGCATTCAACAAAATATTTATAGGCGGCACTATATACCCTAACAGACGCGTACGCACAGCTTGATGGATTTCACCAGATCACAAAACACAAAACTACATCAATCATATGTACATCAAAAACATCAGAATATCCATGGCGGGCGTCAGAACAAAGATATGAGCTAACATAGCTTCAAATTACCACCTAGTTTTGAACAAAATAAAATCGAAGCAAAGGAAGCACTCAAAAACTAGAGAAACAGCATTACAAAGCTTCAATACAAACTTCCTTCGACATACTGACGCACTCAAACAATTCAAGATGGATCTCAACAACAGGTTTTAAGCCTTGCAAGATCTCAAAAAAGAAGAAACTACTACTGAGGACAACAGGAAAGGGATCAACGAAGCACTAACTTCAATGTGTCAGGAGGTGCCGGGCCGCGAGAATTATCATCATAAGAAATGCGTCTCTATGGAAACCCTGAACATTACTCAAGAAAGGAAGAACGAGAGAGTAAGGGGAGCATTGGAGGCGACAAGTAGGATTACGCGGAAGATCCAGCAACGAAAGCAGAATCAACTAAAAAAAGAGGAAGTATCAGAAAACTATATGATATAACGAAGAAACTAGCAGGGAAATAGACTAAAACAGAGAGACTAGTCAAGGAAAAAAAGACGAGACAATCACTGAGATTCATCAAAACGGCAACAAAGGGGTAGAACAAATTGAGGAACTCCTGAAACGATCATCCCAAATGAAAATTCCGGACAACGTAGCAATACACACAGAGAGTTCTATACATCATACTCCACAAAAGATCGAAGGTTTCAGGATTGAAAACACCGAAATAAAAAGTGAGAAAGCATCATTACATGACTTACTAGGTGCAGCAGTAGTTGCTTTTGTTCCATGAGCAACTAAGAAACAAGAAACATAATAAAACGTATTAGTAAAATGACAAAAGTAAAGCAATACGGCAACACTATTTCACATGTTAAGTATGATTATAAAGTACTTATGATTTTTACATCTGGGTCAAATCCATCTGGCAATACCTTATCTTCAACACGAACCACAAAACAGTTCTGCTGTATGGAGATGAGGCTTGTAGAACAACTACACGCATCATCAAAAATTACAATTATTTATAAGGAATTTTCTACTCAAGGTACTCAATATCCGTTGACCAGATTCCACCAGCAATAGCCTACTGTGAGAGAGAACAAACCAGCTTCCATCTGAAGAGGAAATTAGGAAAAGTCGCTGGAAGTGGATAGAACATACATTACGGAAATCACCAAACTGCACAACGAGGCAAGCACTAATTTGGAATACTGAAGGGAAACGGAAAATAGGTAGGCCATAGAACACACTGCACCGAGAATTGGAAGCAGGCATGAAAAAGGATGTATAGCAACTGGAAAGGATTGTCCAGGACAGAGTTAGATGGAGAATGTTGGTGGGTAGCCTATGCTCCTCCACAAGGGGTAATAGGCGTAGGTAAGTAGGTAAAGTATCTTCAACTACTCACATTTTGTAAAATGTAGAATATGAGGTGAAGATGCAAATTGGGAACGTCAAATTGGTTATTACATTGAGATATAAGGACCCTACATTATTTGGGGGGAGGGTAATGTTGGTGTATTTATGGTTTAAATTCTAGATACCATTGATTTCACTGCAAACCAACATGTTGAACATATACAATTCCATGATCAAGGTGAGTCTTTTCCAATTTCAGTTGTTAATTCTAATACTAATGAGCATATTCTAGATCATACAGTGTCTGTATCCAATACACAGTCTGACAGACATACAATGAACCTACAAAGAAGACGTTCAATCGATTGCAGAAACTTAGGTTCTAATTTAAGCTCTGGCGGTTGTGGTGTTAGTATAAACTAATAATTCTCTTGTACTTGAGTGACTGCCTGACTTTGAATGTCAAATACAATACGTCCATTTATGTTCATCTCGTTCTACTTGCTGTAAATTGCACGATTTCGGGAAGTCCTAGTTATTACAATAATTCAAATACTTCTAATCATCACAAGAAACTAATCCATTTGTTCTACAGCACAGAAGAAGGTTGTCAAGATTTAACAAAACTTATAGAAATTCATAAAACTCTAGTTCCATAAACTCATGACACAGATAAAACAAAACTGCAAAACATTCCAACGATTAATTTTTAAATAAGATAGGAAGCGACTTACTAGGTGCAGCAGTAGTTGCTTTCGTTCCATGAGCAACTAAGAAACAAGAAACATAATAAAACGTATTAGTAAAATGACAAAAGTAAAGCAATACGGCAACACTATTTCACATGTTAAGTATGATTATAAAGTACTTATGATTGTTACATCTGGGTCAAACGTCGGCGTCATGATAAATCTTGGCAGGCGTTGTGATTAATAAGTGAGTTTCCATTGCTAATTCATTTTCCACTTAGAATTTCATGCGGAATTAATTGATCTAAATTGTTGATCAATTAATATTAATTGCGCTATCTAGTCCTGCATAAACTATTCAGTGTTATTTTTTAATATACTTTTCATCTCTAGAACTCAATGCAGCATAAATATTTCTCTGTATAGTGGTCGTGGATAATAATAAGTTTTTGATTGGGATCATCCACAACCCCTATACTGATAATTACCATGTGCTCACTAGTCACTAGCTTCGTGAGAAAATCCTCGGAGTTCCAGTGAGAAGCCGTGATCAGTGGAGCTAATCCGTGTCGGGTAGTGACAAGTGTCCACCTCAGTACAATGGAAGATGGTCGCGCACTTTCGTGGATTGGTTGATGTTAGACACTAACACCACCGGATGCCGGCTCAGTGGTCCAGTAGGTTAGGCGTTCGCGCGCGAGACTGAAGGCCCTGGGTTCGAACTCTGGGAGCGGGATCGTGGATACGTATTGCTGCGGATTCCCACAATAGGACGAGACGGCCGTTCAGTGCTTCCAGGTTTCCAACGGTGATCAATCAATCAGTTCATGATCTCAATCAATAAATACTTCTTTTGTCCTTTTACTTAATTACGAGTTATCTTTTCTTTAGTAGTTATTCACAGAACCAAGCAGTATAGAACTGATTGTGATTCGAGATCTATATAAGCACTGCTTATATAAGCGATTTTGAACCCAATTCATCAAATTTTCGTAAACATTTCTCTTCAATACCTATTCCATCAATTGTCACATTTTGTAAAAGTTGATAATTTGCAATTCACATTACTCATTATATGTTCACAGAATACAATACTAGCATTACATATTATTTATTCAAGTTTAACTATACTCATTTCCATCGAAAATTCAATGTTACTGGAACATGTTTTAGTTATGTCAAGCTTTGAACATAAATTTGAAATAAGGTTTTCTGAAGAAACATTGGACAAAAGACTATCCCAATAAAAATTTATGCATTCATCAACAGACCTCAATAATGTGCAAAATCTTCTTTAGAATAGGAACTTAGAGAATATTCGGAAGTGTAATAGCATTAGTTACCAATTTTTCAATGATAAATCTTTAATTGCGAAATAATGCACTCACTTGTATGATTTTGTGAAATTTTCTGGTGTGTTGTTGTTGGAACGTGGGGAACTGAAAGATAATATATAAGTTTTATGTTTAATATATAGAAATTACATGCCTGATTTGAATGTCAAATACAATACGTCCATTTATGTTCATCTCGTTCTACTTGCTGTAAATTGCACGATTTCGGGAAGTCCTAGTTATTACAATAATTCAAATACTTCTAATCATCACAAGAAACTAATCCATTTGTTCTACAGCACAGAAGAAGGTTGTCAAGATTTAACAAAACTTATAGAAATTCATAAAACTCTAGTTCCATAAACTCATGACACAGATAAAACAAAACTGCAAAACATTCCAACGATTAATTTTTAAATAAGATAGGAAGCGACTTACTAGGTGCAGCAGTAGTTGCTTTCGTTCCATGAGCAACTAAGAAACAAGAAACATAATAAAACGTATTAGTAAAATGACAAAAGTAAAGCAATACGGCAACACTATTTCACATGTTAAGTATGATTATAAAGTACTTATGATAGTCACATCTAGGCCAACCGACCGCCACAGAATTGGTAATGTCAATATGCGTGCACGAAACGATTTTCGCCGACATAATATAACTTCGAATTTCCAACGCGCTCCTTTTCAATTCGGGTTATCATCTGGATTATGATCATAATTTTGGATTTCTTATATCACTATTTTAATTAGACACACATTATCTCACAAGCATTATTGAACGTAACGATAATATTCATAATAAATAAAAATATTTCACAAACAATCGATATATTGGTGCAATTTAGTAAGTTTGTGCTATGTTTTAAATCGTTTCATTGGTTATTATCACTGTTTTTATCGGTCTGTCTTTGTGTCAGTTCGCGATGATTTCTTTTTGTGACATTTACATTTTATTCGCGTACTCTTTGATTTTTATTAATATGTCTTCAAATAACGACACAATAGACCTTCCTTATGCACCGTCCATGAGGTTCATTAAGCTTAATATTCCTCCTTTTAAGGTCACTGACCCTCATCTTTGGTTCATTAAACTTTAAAGTTACTTTGTAGCTAATCGTTTTCACTTACAGCGAGATAAATTCGGTCATGGATGCCCACTACTTCCGGATGAAATAAAAGACAATTTGCGAGAGGTCTTAGCTAAACCGGACGCAGGGAAACCATACGACGTACCAAAGCAGGCAGTAATAAAAGCCGTCTCGTCAACCGACCGGCAGAAGCTGCCCAGTCAGGTGCAAATAAGAAATAGGACTTCGTTGCAGTTAAAAAATTATATGAGCAACACGATCGGGGACAGAAACGTAGAGAAAAACATATTTTATCACTTGTGAATACGACGACTCCCACTGAGTGCAGCAGATCCTTGCAGTTGGGGACAGCAATTTCGACATAGACAACATCACCAAAATAGCCGATAGGATTTTTGAGAGAATGGACACACGAGTCCACATAGGCATGTCTCCACAGAAGATGAAAGAATCTATGCGTTACAAGAAAAGATTGATGTTTTATGCCACAAACTGACGAACCTAAGTCAGGACGACGGACAAAGAAGATGGTCGCGAAGTAGATCAAGAGATAGAAGCCGATCATGCTGTAGGAGACGCTCAGCTCCTACAACACGCTGGTACCATCAGAAGTTTGGCCACAGAGCTAGAAAATGTAGATCACCATGTAAATTTAAACGATCCACAGGTTGTCCGTCACGGCTGCGACAACTAGCACAGCTCTTAGAAACAGTCATTTATTTTATGTCCAGGATAGAGTAACATGCACTCAATTCTTAGTAGACACGGGAACAGAAATAAGCGTCGTAAAACGAAAGACGAAATATTAATACAGCACTAACACTTAAAGCAGCAAACAAATCCGACATAAAAACATATGGGAAGCAAAAATTGAACTTGAATTTCGGTCTTAGCACTTCATTTTGCTGGGAATCCCTTATCGTAGATGTATCCGTACCTATAATTGGTATTGACTTATTAAAGAATTCCGAATTACTAGTGGATTCCCAACGAAATGGGCTTGTGAACGGAGACCATTCAGTAGTGATAAAAGGAGTGACAACCGATCACGTATCAATAAATTTAGTGGTGTCAAAAGACAAAAGCGGGTCATATAGGTTGCTTCTAAATGAGTACGCTGATTTGGCGAGAGCGTCATACAATAACATACTGTACAGCACCACATTGTAACGAAAGGTCCACCGACTAACGCAAAACCACGAAGGCTAGGCCCAAAAAGGTTGAATATTGAGAAACGAGAATTCGAAAAATTGATGAAACTTGGTATCATAAGGCCATCGAATAGTCCCTGGGCATCCCCGTTGCATATGGTTATCAAAGGGAATGAAGAAATCAGACCATGTTGAGATTATAGAGCTCTTAACAAACAAACTAATGTCGGATAGATATCCGGTACTGCACATCCACGACATCTCTACCTATATAAGTGCCACGGTCTTTTCAAAATTGATCTTGTTCGGGCTTATTACCACATACACGTGGCACCAGAAGGTATACCCAAAACTACTGTAATCACTCCATTTATCTTATTTAGGATTTTGCGAATGCCCATCAGATTAACTAATGCAGCTCAAACCTTCCAGCAATTCATTGATCAGGTATTTATAGGTTTGACAGGAGTATACACATATATCAATGATATACTAGTAGCTAGCACTACCATGAAAGAACATCTACAACATCTATGACAGTTGTTTACGAAACTCCAGGAACATAGCGTCACTAATAAAGTGGAGAAGTGTGAATTCGGAAAGGAATCGTTGCAATTCCTGGATCATATGACAAATTCTTAAGGTACCATGCCAGCTCCAACAAAAGTTGCTGCTATTCGTAATTATCCGTTGCCTGAATCACAAGGAAAATTATGACTATTCTTGTGACTAATAAACTATTATAGACGATTAATTTCAAACTGCTCAACAATATTACAACCATTGATGGACGCTTTGCGAAGACATACCCAAACATTTCGTCTATCAACAGAGGCCATATAGGCGTTTGAGAACGCTAAGCGAGCGCTAGATCAGAAGACGATATTTGTACGACGAAAGAGCGAAGCACCACTAGTCGTCATGACGGAAGCATCGAACATAGCTGTGGTAGCAGTACTGCAGCAGTTAGTAAACAGTACATGGGAACCACTTGCATTTTTCTCGAAAAGATTAAATCCTACTCAGACGAGGTATAGTACGTTTGGAAGAGAACTGTTAGCGATTTACTTGGTAATAAAGCATTTTTTACATATGATAGAGGGTACCATTTTCATAGTGTAACAGATCGTAAAACAATCATAAACGAAAGCATGAAACGCCAAGCAGGATAATTATTCGCCGAGGGAAATTCGACAATTAGAAATTATTTCCTAATTTCCATCTAGCATACAGCATATTAAAGGCAATAATAACGAAGTGGCAAACGCATTATCCAGAACGATGATAAATGCTCTTATCTAGTCTGAAATCGATTATCACAAATAGGCAGTATTGCAAAATATAGATGTTGAGCTAAATAGACTATGGTCTGCCAACACAACCTCTTTGGTACCCAAAGAAACTCAATTCGAAAAAGTAAGCACCACGTGTACTATCTCCACGGGCCGACCACGAACAGTTATTCCGAAGCCAATAAAACGAAAAGTTTGCGAAGCTATGCATAATATATAGCATCCTAGAATAAGGGCCACAATCAAACTAACCATCGAGCGTTTTGTATGGCCAAGTATGAACAGGGATAATCTCAACTGGACGCAAGCTTGTATAAAATGTCAGGAAATTGAGATACATAGTTGCACCAGTTCCACCGTATGTCTTATTCGTCACCACGATAGCGGGTTTGAGCATATACATATCGATATTGTGGGACCGCTGCAGATTTCATATGGTTCAAGTTATATTTTCACATGCATTGATGGATTAATGTGATCGCCTGTAGCAGTGACCATCGAAGAAATTTCAGCCAAACTATAGCCAAAACCCTAGTGGAACATTGGATTTCTTAGTATGGAGTGCCTGCTAATATCACAACTGATAGAGGAGTTCATTTTGAGGGTCGCCTCTTCCAACAACTAACAAAGCTCTTCGGAATCAAACGTATTCAAACAACATTCTACCATCCAATGGCGAGTGGTATGGTAGAGAGATTACATTAGCAAATTAAAGCCTCTCCTACAGCTCTTATTAGCAAAAACGATTGAGCCAGCAAGCCCCTATTATTCATGTTGAGTTTAAGATCAGCAATTAGACAGGATATATGATGTTGCCCAGCAGAGTTGGTTTATGGGACTATCTACGCCTACCAGAAGAGTTTTTCACCTCAGGCAAAAGTGCTCCAACTGATATAGTCAACCATGTACAGCATCTAAGGCAGCATATGAGTAATCTAAGAGTAACGTTCCTGAGGCTACGTCAAATCGAGTGTACATACCAAAACAACTGATCGACAGTACCATGTAATTATCAGAAAGGATAATGTGCGGCCTCTCTTACAACCGGCCTACGAATGGTCCATTTAAAGTGATGAGAGGAATTGGTAAAATTATTACGGTAGATAAAGCTGGAAAAACGGATGTAATTAGCATCGAACGAGTCAAACCAACTTCCATCGACGCTGACAATCAACCAGTACATACAGATCCTTCGAAAGCCGTTGAATCGCCAGAACGTGAGTTCCAATCATCAACGACATCGACGAAGAACAACGAAGAGAATCAGGCGATAACGAGATATGATCGAAGAGTGAAATGGCCGCAACGATACATAGCTACGATTTTGAATTAATAATTTCTTTCACCACTTCAGATGTGAATTTTGTTTGTTAATCTTTGTTTTGTATGTGCACATAGGAACTTTTAACTTATTTACCATTATATTCGACATATTTTGTATATTCTGATATCAACGTTTTAAACTTCTAGAAGCATTACTGTATTATTTTGATCCCCTATAATCATCTTATCTGACCTCACGAACGTGCACGAACCCAAGCTTACAAGTATTTGTAATAACTTCCACGATAGTTCCATCATACATCTGAATTTCGTAAATTTCGATATTTACTGCCCTGTTTAATTTAACAATTATTTCACAAACACAGACACTGTTTTGTATCTTTGTTTGCTGGAGGGAGCTGTTATAGCAGCTCACGTGCAATTGAGTCTGTTCACATTTGACTTGGTTAAGCCCTTTTGCTAACTTAATCAATGGACAGTCATTTGCACAATAACAACTTATCTATACCATTGTAACTTTATTATTGTTGCGCTTGTATGAATATGTATGCTTGAGCATTGCTTAATGTCTGCGCATAATATCCATTCCGCAAGCCTTATTATTAGACGCTTAATTGATTCGATGATTCATTTCACTATGCATATATATGTACATTCTAATCCTGTTCACTCACTTACTCGCTTGCCCGCTTTGTTTTCTGTACTACCCTTTCATGCTTTCTCAGCGTACCTGTAATTTTGGTGATATGTGTGTTATGCAATAATAAAAGTAATTAAAACTTGGTATCCACCTTCCCATTATTACACCGTTTGGCGTTATCTAGTGAAGGTAATCATCACGAACTGTATATGAAGAGTAAGGAATATATACAATAGAAACCAACACAAACAAATACATTTTTGGGTTGGATTGACTGTCTAATTTTGAATGTCAAATACAATACGTCCATTTATGTTCATCTCGTTCTACTTGCTGTAAATTGCACGATTTCGGGAAGTCCTAGTTATTACAATAATTCAAATACTTCTAATCATCACAAGAAACTAATCCATTTGTTCTACAGCACAGAAGAAGGTTGTCAAGATTTAACAAAACTTATAGAAATTCATAAAACTCTAGTTCCATAAACTCATGACACAGATAAAACAAAACTGCAAAACATTCCAACGATTAATTTTTAAATAAGATAGGAAGCGACTTACTAGGTGCAGCAGTAGTTGCTTTCGTTCCATGAGCAACTAAGAAACAAGAAACATAATAAAACGTATTAGTAAAATGACAAAAGTAAAGCAATACGGCAACACTATTTCACATGTTAAGTATGATTATAAAGTACTTATGATTGTTACATCTGGGTCAAATCTGTAGTGACTCACATTTATCACGAGAACACGACTGGTTTAATAAAAACAATTATTATTATAACCAACTGTACCAGTGTTTGTTTTAACGTGCTTTTGTTTGACTGTGCTAATGACAGCTATTTTGTGCTTCCATTCTTTTACTTACACTTTGATTGTAACTTCGCGCGAATTCGGTTACGTTCTGTAACCAAGCTTGTATCCTGGCACGATCTCGGTATCCTTTCGATGCCACGAGATCGCCAGCGAATACATCTCGATTTGGTCCATTAACTGTCTTCTGATATTTGGCTTCTCGGGGATTTTATGGATTTATTTGGTTACGTCCAACCTTCGCCTTCTGATTTACTTGGCACGTGTTTTTTGGTAGCGGTGTTCATAGTCAATTCCGACTCGACGCCACGCTACAATTGGTGACCCAAGTTCTGGAACACGCCTCAACCTCTGGTCAAATCTTCCAAAGAAGCCAATTCGGTGAGTCTATGATTTATCTATCCACGTCTGTCGTATATTTTCATATTTTTTAATATATAATATACTCGACATGACGGATAACGATAAGAATAGTATTAATATAATAGACTCACATGTACGTGTACCGAATCCTTGTTACTTTTTATTCGCGTGACGATGAATTCCACGCTTTATTCGAGAAATTTTCCCCTATTAACTATTCTCCTCGCTGACCCGGCTGCTTGGTACGGAATGCATACGCATAAGCATATCTGTCTACCACCCAGCACCAAATGGTTAAGTAAACGGTTTCACTGCCAACTTAAAAGTGCTCTACGAGCACACGAAAACGGCAACTGGCACGAAACCTTACCGCTCGTTCTTTTAGGGATCCGAACGAGCTTGAAGGCAGATATACAATGTTCCGCCGCTGAACTGGTATACGGCACGACATTGCGTCTGCCCGGAGAATTCTTCACACCACGGAGCAGACCTAATTTCGGTAAATCAGACTACGTCCATCGACTGTCTGCATTTATGCGAACGCTGTCTCCGGTGTCAACTCGAATACAACATCGACAGGTCGCTCTCCCTCGAGAGTTATCTACCTGTTCACATGTTTTCATACGAGTAGATTCGGTACGCAAACTTTGCAACAACCTTACGAAGGCCCTTTTCACGTGATCGCTCGTCACGAAAAGACCTTCAAGGTTGATCGACATGGCCGCGTCGAGATCGTCAGCATTGATCGTCTCAAACCAGCACACGTCGATGACAGTGCCCTATCTGATAACCTGAGATTCAATGCTAGACCTATCAAACCTACTAGCGGGATCCTCAAACCATCTTCAGGTCCCACGCTAGATACATCTGAGACCTCATTCTCACGTCCCGGTCAACAGCACGCGTCATCTGCACCGTCTACGGACGAGACGACAGTCTCACGTCCAGATCAGCAGACCACGCCGCCTCTGACCCGGATGAGATTGCAGGCTCACGAGATACGAACGAGACTACCGTCTCACGTTCCGGTCGCCGAGTACGGTTACCCGTACGCTTCCGCGACTAGCCGCACAGTTAACAACCGATACGGTGTAGGATTATTCCTATACTACACGCATGCTACACTCTTCTCTTTTTTATTCTCTTTTTGTTTCCTGAGCCCACGCCTTCGACCATCTCCGTTTGGTTCCGTCGACTTCAGTCAACTTTGGCGAAAGCTGGCCTGATCACCCACGCTCTTGTCAACGTACTCAGTCGATATATTGGTTTCGAATGCTTGGCATACGCTTGGTCTCGAACTTGGTCGTTATGGTCGCTTCTGGTTCTCGGCTCAACGTGGTTTCGTCCTTCGTCTGCAGCGTTTCTGGTCCGCATTCCTACGAACGCCCTCTTCAGATTCTGGATACAAACCACTCTCGTGTAGCATGCCAACTCAAGCAACAAATACAGCACATCGCTCCTGGTACCGTTCTCCGAAAACGACCTTCGTTGGCAACTCGACGATCAACGATCGCTTTCCTGTTCGCCAATTCTTCCGTCCTACAATCGCTCGTCAGCCGATCAGTCCCACGATTCAAACCGCTATTTATCGAAAGTGTAAACCCTTTCTAGCGGGGGGCTCCTGTAGTGACTCACATTTATCACGAGAACACGACTGGTTTAATAAAAACAATTATCATTATAAACAACTGTAGCAGTGTTTGTTTTAATGTGCTTTTGTTTGACTTCACCACTTAGAATTTCATGCGGAATTAATTGATCTAAATTGTTGATCAATTAATATTAATTGCGCTATCTAGTCCTGCATAAACTATTCAGTGTTATTTTTTAATATACTTTTCATCTCTAGAACTCAATGCAGCATAAATATTTCTCTGTATAGTGGTCGTGGATAATAATAAGTTTTTGATTGGGATCATCCACAACCCCTATACTGATAATTACCATGTGCTCACTAGTCACTAGCTTCGTGAGAAAATCCTCGGAGTTCCAGTGAGAAGCCGTGATCAGTGGAGCTAATCCGTGTCGGGTAGTGACAAGTGTCCACCTCAGTACAATGGAAGATGGTCGCGCACTTTCGTGGATTGGTTGATGTTAGACACTAACACCACCGGATGCCGGCTCAGTGGTCCAGTAGGTTAGGCGTTCGCGCGCGAGACTGAAGGCCCTGGGTTCGAACTCTGGGAGCGGGATCGTGGATACGTATTGCTGCGGATTCCCACAATAGGACGAGACGGCCGTTCAGTGCTTCCAGGTTTCCAACGGTGATCAATCAATCAGTTCATGATCTCAATCAATAAATACTTCTTTTGTCCTTTTACTTAATTACGAGTTATCTTTTCTTTAGTAGTTATTCACAGAACCAAGCAGTATAGAACTGATTGTGATTCGAGATCTATATAAGCACTGCTTATATAAGCGATTTTGAACCCAATTCATCAAATTTTCGTAAACATTTCTCTTCAATACCTATTCCATCAATTGTCACATTTTGTAAAAGTTGATAATTTGCAATTCACATTACTCATTATATGTTCACAGAATACAATACTAGCATTACATATTATTTATTCAAGTTTAACTATACTCATTTCCATCGAAAATTCAATGTTACTGGAACATGTTTTAGTTATGTCAAGCTTTGAACATAAATTTGAAATAAGGTTTTCTGAAGAAACATTGGACAAAAGACTATCCCAATAAAAATTTATGCATTCATCAACAGACCTCAATAATGTGCAAAATCTTCTTTAGAATAGGAACTTAGAGAATATTCGGAAGTGTAATAGCATTAGTTACCAATTTTTCAATGATAAATCTTTAATTGCGAAATAATGCACTCACTTGTATGATTTTGTGAAATTTTCTGGTGTGTTGTTGTTGGAACGTGGGGAACTGAAAGATAATATATAAGTTTTATGTTTAATATATAGAAATTACATGCTGATTTCGTAAAATAGTCTTATTTTATAAACAAAGATGGATAGTGCCTAGCAGTAGAATCCAGGACGCGCGTTTCGTCCTATTTCGGAATCGTCACCTGGATATGTCTGCATCTCAGAGTTGATGTTCACTCTATCCATCTTTGCTTATAATGCTTGTGAATTAAGGCAATATCGAGACAATTCACACAGTATTCACATATGCCAATAAGAGACGGATCAGTTGCAGTCCTAAACATCAATGGGAAGATTCGAGTAAACAATACCAAGTGAATTTAATGTTTAATTTTGTATGTAATATTTGCTTTGGTTTCATTAATATATAATTGTAGGAAAATTATATTTGGATTATGTTAATCAATGAAAATAAGTAATTCACTGTAACGTTACTTGGAATCATTTTACTAGCATTGGTACATAATTTACCTCCATAGCATATGAAGAAGTAATGTAAATATTTAAACCAATATGCACTCACCTACTGTAGAGTTGTGAACTTGTGTCTGAGGTAAATCTAGGGACGTGTGCAAAGCGTTAAAAGTAAGCTAAGATTCTTGTATGAAAAACGATTGGTTAAGGTTTGTGAAAATAGTCTGAAAAAGGTTGTTCATGTGTATAAAGAGATGAACTCAGAGAAGTGATGGGATCCCGGCACTTTTGGTAAAAAAAAGCTTTCTTGATGTTGATAAGAAATGATGCTGCAAAGGCTGAAGTTTTATTGGAATAGTTTGGTAAAGTGGCTTCTACCAGCGATGAAGAAAGACCAACCGTTAATTATAATAATGATGACTTGTCGATGGATCATCTGATTAATAAGAAAGGAGTTGTTTTAGGATTAATTCAACACTCCAGATGAGATAAGTCTAATGGTCTCGAAGGTATTCATCCCAAGATTATGACAACCCTGAGTGATGTAATTACCAAACCTCTGACAAAACTGTCTGATATGTCTCTTTTGCAGTCTAAATTATCAAGGATAAAGACCTAGTTAGCAACAATCAGCCCGTTAGTTCAACCGTTGTAGTCGCCAATCTAAGGAACAATATTATTCAGGTGGGTTATCTAAACCATGTGAAATGGAATAATCTTTTAGTTAGATAACATGGTTTTAAGAAAGGCTTTTCATGCTCGACATATCTTTACATTGCAAGCTTATATTGGACTGCAGAGAAAGATAGTAATACTCTGTGAGAAGCAATTTTCATAGGTAACGTTAATTGTTGTTTTCATCAACTGCAGACCACAGCCACTATAATATATACAGACTTAGATAGGGTAAACCAACTTATTGAAATGAATCAAACACTGCATGATAAATTGAGTACACCATTTGCACATATTTTTTTATTTGTCTTGTTCTTTTATTCCTGTTCCTACTCCTACTGTTTTTTCTTTATTTCTCTTCCCCTCATATTCTTCTTTTTATCAGTAAGAAGCCTACTCCCAATTCCTGATACATACTACTTATATTTGTTCGTATAAGTAGCATACATTACACTACCACTATGGTGTAGTGATTAAGCTCGTCTCATAAAGTGGACGCCGTAGACATAGACTACCTGTTCAGTTCTCTGGTTCTAAAAGTCTTTGTGTCTTGAACCCTGAATAAGAAACCGAATATGAGGAGTGTAAATGGAGGTATACTTTTAGGGTTTGTTCATATAAAAAGAAGTTTTATTTATGAGATTTAGTGTAAGTCTTAGGTGTTAGGAGTCTCTTAAAATGATTTAAAAACTGGCCTATTGAGTTGCCTAGTGAGCTCCGTAAACTCTTCCAATAAAAACTAGTGCCAATAAATTGAAGATAAAATAGCACATCCCTTGTTTCATTGAAATGTACCCTTAACCACATACCACGGCTATTAATATTCGAACCCTGTATCAAATCAAGTAATGAGCTTCTATTGAAAAACTTCTATTTCTGAAATTGACATATATTCTCAATATTATAATACTTTACATCAATCTACACTTACTCGTAGTGGTGATAGAAACATTTTTGCTTGATTTTTGAAGTTCACATTTATCTAAAGAATTAAGAAATGTATGCTGCGTTTAATACATGAACAAGGTAGCGCAATAACATCAAATAATGTTTAACTTTGATCTCAATAGCAACATCACTTTCAAAATAATAGTTTTTAGAAAGATTGTATTATAACTATACTAATTAGCTACAGAATGTTGTACAAATAAATGAAATATTTTAGACAACTTCACAACTATGTTATTCTGACATACACACAAAAAAAATATTATGCGTAATTATACACTCACCTGTACCGTTGCATGAAGTTCGATTATTTGATTTCTGTGGTATGTGGATATCTAACCGAAAAAAGGTGAATTGTTTATATGTTCTGAAGGAAGTGTCATAAAACTAATAAGATTCAAACAATGTCTTTTCATTACTCTGAGATGTATAGAAAAGTCCGACTTGAAAGTGATGAATATTAACCTAAACTTACAAAAGAGTTAGATCAAGAAAATTAATTGAGAAGTTTGTTACAGAAACATATAAATGGTCTATATCAACTAGTATGTGATAGAGTTACAATATATGGATCATGGTCTAATCCATAGGTTATTGGTTACTTCAACACAGACTTAGTAGGTATGGTATCTTAAGATTTACACATAGACAAAATAAAGAATTATAAGTTACGGTAGCGATCCATTAAATTATTGTAATTTCAGAGTAAATACTTAAGACTCAGTAGGTAATAAACTTTTTGGATAACAATCTAGATTTGAGTTAGAATTTGTGAATTGGTGAGCGAATGTGGCTAACACCAAATAGGGTCAGACCTTCAGGTCGAAGGCTCTGGGTGTGGCCCCCTAAGAAAGCCACCTGCTTGAAATTGGGCACCCAGTCAGTATCTTATCCCTCACACAAATCGAATGATTTATGTGGTGCATATCTATTTGGTGCCTCCATGTACCAATGTTTATGTGTTTAAATAAATAAATAATAAACCTATAAAAATAACATAATTGTATCTTGATTAACGTTGTTTTAATTGTCATATAGAAAACTTGTGAATTTACAGTTTATATAACACACCATTATGGTTAAATATAATATTTACACCATTTGTCTAAATATTATATCTCGGAGATTAAATATACTGGTTAATCTTGATAAACCAATTTGTTTCTATTAAGCTTTTAGCACAAATCTGAAGATAAAATCTCTGAGAGAACACTGTACGAAAAGACAATCTCACAGTACATATAAACAAAAGCATCAACAATCCCAAATAAACCGAAAAGAAACCTTAATTAAAATAAAAATTTAGCAATCTCTAGGATGTATCTCGGAATTGATCATGAATAAATTACGAATTCTTGTCATGTACCCATCCATTTTCAATGATAATCTTGTAAAACGTATTTTACTTACTAGGATCTGTCATAATTTTCAAGGTATGCATCTTTGAAGCAGATGAGTCTGGAAAAAAACATAAGACTCATATTATTCTATTTTATAAAAATCAACATCCAAATATGTTTGGTTTAACACAGTATAGTTTCGATTGTTAAAAGTCATATATTTCTTTGATGATTTTGATTTTGATTATTGCTCTGAAGAAGTCCAGACAAGTTAACTGGACAAAACGTTGGAATGATTTAACTTTCAATCGCTGAGATTATTTCAAATATAATTTTCACATAATAATGACTTCTCTATACTCGGCGCCCAATTTTTGTCAAATTATTCGTTCTAATATTGACAAATATTCGTATAAACACAAATTATATGTTTGATACAAGGAAAATGCAGAATGGTTTTTGTTGAATGATGTTTAATTGTGGTTGTAATAGTTGCCTTAACTTCTTCAAAATTCATTACCATTGTAACTTGCAATACTTTCTAATAAAATGATACTGATGAGATTAGTAAAAGTAAAATCTATACTATACGTGTCAAACTATTGAACAATTTACTCACCTGATAATTTGTCTGACTTCACGATTCTTGCTGATACATGTTCAACTAACAAAATAATAATTCGATTTGAAAGTCATGCCAAAGTATAATAATAAATAAAACTACAATTTGACTATATCAACTTCACTGTTAACATTATAATATTGTATAATAGACAATATAGTTACTTAAGGGGTTTACTTTGTGAATAAGCATTTGCATTGTTTAAAAATAAAGCTTTCAAAAATGAGAATGAAAGAATTGTGTTAAATTTAAATTAAAAGGTTTACTAAACATTAGGTCATTTTATATTTACTCACACTTAATCTAAACTTAATTATTCTACCTTTTTTATATCATTCAACTAGATGTCATTAAAATAGTCTAAATGTTGATTTCATCCATAATGTTATCAATCGTCACCGTGTTTATTATACCTAGCACTTCTGGTCATTTTTCATATCTGTTTAGAGAGTGAACGCTACAGATTAGAATGTAACTTTCATTAAAGATTTCATTTTAAACTCCAATTTTTATTAGGTTTGTGTTGTTTTTTTATTCAGGATGTTGGATAACAGTATAATGGGTATATCCGTAACAGACAGTTGAAAAAGAATTCTAGCCTTAATTTACACAATGAATAAATAAATATTACCTTTGGTTTCATATTTCACTGTTTTCACTTTCTACAATGTTTATGTTGATTAAATTTATGCTGTATTATTGAATTAGACAATTATTTTAGGCATTTCTTTTCAATTGTTGAGATCATGAGTCAATTGAATCTAGATCACCATGGAAAACCTGGAAACACATGAACGACCGTTTCGTCCTATTGTGGGACTCCTCAGAAGTGCGCATTCACAACACCGCCTCGCGGGATTCGAACCCATGATCTATCAGTCTCGCACACGAGCGCTCAACCACTAGACAACTGTTCATTAATTTGTACTACTTATTTAGCTATTTACTACTTATTTCTTTTTCTTAAAGATTATTTATAACTGAAAAACCAATGGTTAATAAGTGAAGCAAAAATCATACTTTTCATAAAATTAAACTATCGAGTGAAATTGTATAGAAACTTTTGAACATATGTTTTGTTCGTTTTCTTTTTGACATTTGTTTTTACTATCAGAAGGGATTTTGTGGATATTAAAGTAATTTTGATAGTTGAGATTATGAGTCATTTAAAGCTAAAGCACCATGGAAAACCTGGAAGCACTGTTGAGAAGTCCCATAGTCGAACGAAACGGCCGTCCAATGCTTCCGAGTTTTCCATGATGGTCTAGCTTCAATTGACTAATGACCTCAACTATTTATTTTTACATTTAAGAAAACTGTAATAAGCACTTAAATCCTTATTCGTTAATAAATAAAAAGAAAGTAGTAGTAGTAGTAGGAGAATATTTTCCAATAGAAAGTAAACTGGAAAGATAAAGGGATGATAGATGCTTTAAGTACTTTCAGTAAATACTTAAAACTTCCAGTTTCCACGATCGAAATATGAAGAGACGAAATACATTTGATTGAGCTTTCTTTTTGTTTTAAAGTGAATTCTATAAATGAAATCATCTTCACAAATGACCAAATTAAATAAACAAATGATTACTTTATTTATAATAAAAATTAATTGTAACCGTTATATGTATTTTTTTTTTCTTTAAAAAGTAGGTTGAGACTATAATTTATGGATGATCTTTGAGCGACGCTAAAGTGACCTTGACAGTGTCTACCTACTTACTAGAACTAAATGAGAGTTGTAAAGCAGTTTAAAGAATAAACATTGTAGTGTCAGTCATTATTTTAAGCCAATGTATCTTATTCCAGCTTTCGGACATTCCATTCTATTCATTCTACTTGATTCATATTTTGACCTTGTCAATTATTCGCTTATCACTCTTGTCTGTTTTTATATGAGTGTATGTGTGTGTACACTTCATATCCCATGACTGACTCATCACATGTCTGTAGTTTATTTTGTCTGCCTATAAATATTGAGTAACGCTTGTCTAAAATGGAGTTGGCTTCCCAGCCATCTTCTCTGCGTGTCGTTTTGCTTTGCTCTGTTTCATTCGCTTCATATACAAAATATATGTATTCACAAGTCAATTCTCGTTATTCGACTTATTTAATTCCGTTATTGACTAACGCGATTTAAGTCGACGATTATATACGAGAATAGGCGATAACAAACATTCGTACGATCTAAATAAGAGTCAGATCCACGGGCCACTAAAAGATTATGATTTACAATTGATGGTTAAGGTTAGGAATTAGATTTAAGGTTTTTATTACAAACTGACATTAGCTATAATGTCAAGACGCTATTTAGCCAAATGGATGAATGAATTCCATACCAAAATTCAAGACCTATTATCCTAAATCTAATTAGTTCATCCATAAATTATAGTCTCATCAAAAAGTTTGAATGTAGGAAAGTAAAACAATAACTATAACCATGTCATCAATTATGAAGTGAACTTACACTTTCCATTAGTAATGAAATATAAAGCATAAAGTAGGATAATCGCATACATGTTGTGTTCTGTTTTTCTATTATAAAAGTTTCAAATTGTTTCACCTCTTTATATAAATAAACTTTTATAGATTCTTATTTTGAAATAGTTTTCTCTTTTTCTTTCTCTATTTTCTATATTTACATATTCCTCATATTTGTTTTACAAAAAAAAAAAGAAAAGAAAACAAGACGAGGTTTATTTACCCATCAAGTTAGAAATAAACTCAATACAAATGAACATAATCAAATTACAATCGGTGTATCAAATTATAACGTTAATATTCATTGACAATGTAATAATAGTAAGATAAACAAATCTATTAATTATAAAATGAATAAATCATTATGATTATCATTATATTAGGCAAATAAAGAACACATTAGTTGATTATACTCGATTTTAATTCTAAGCGATATTTTCTATACTTACAGTTGCTTATCTTATTCTATTAATTTTATTAAACGTGATAAATATAATTTCTTTTAATAGTTGAAATCATGAGTCAATTGAAGCTAGATCACCATGGAAAACCTGGAAACCCTGGACGGCCACTTCGTCCTATCGTGGGACACCTCAGCAGTGCGCATCCGTCCCCCCCCTCGCGAGGTTCGAACCCATGATCTATCAGTCTCGCACACGGGCGCTTAATCATTAGACCACTGAGCTGGTATCCAACGGTGTTAATGTCTAACTTCAACCAATCCACGAAATCGCGCCATCGTACACCATTGTCTTCAGTGAGCTGACATCTCACAACAGACCTGGTTGAACTCCAATGGCCACGGCTTCTCACTAGAACTCCAGGAAATGCTCCTTGAAGTCAGTCATTAGTGAGTAGATGATTAATATCAGGAGTTTTGTGGAGCGCTCGAGCGCGAGACTGATAGGTCCCGGGTTCGAATCTCGCGGGGGCTGGGATCGTGGATGAGGACTGTTGAGGAATCCCATAATAGGACGAAACGGCCGTCCAGTGTTTCCAGGTTTTCCATAGTGGTCTAGCTTCAACTGACACATGGTTTCAACTATTGAAATTACTAAAATCTCTACAAAAGTCCTTTTGATATTTTCTTTGGTGAGACAATAATTTATGGGTAACCTGTAAGTGACGTTAAAATGACCTTGAGAATGTCCCCCGACTTACTGACGCTAAATGAACTTTATAAAGATATGTGAAGAGTAAGGACTTTGATATACAATTGATGGTTATGGTTAGGAATTAGATTTAGGGTTATAATCACAAACTGATATCAGCTAAAATGTCAAAACGCTATTTTATCAAATGAATGAATGAATTTAACACCAAAATTCAAGATCTGTTATCCCAAATGTGATAACTTCGTCCATAAATTATAATCTTATCATTTCCTCTACTTAGTTACTCAGTAGTGAATAATATTATTTTAATCTAGCCATTAGTGATAATTATCAGTTGGAATGGTTACGACATAGAAGTACATTTGTTTGATGTTATGATTTTGGAATCAGCTGACACGAAGCTTAGTTTACGCTCATCAACAAGATTAATTTACATGGAATTAAATCTGGCATCGTCCAGTAAAAAACGTTACCAGTGGTCCCAGCCATAAAAAAGTAGAAACTATGGGTTAAATTCTTGTTTTATGACTAGATTACTTATTAGTAATCAGGCTTCATCCATATTTTTTGTATCTCACTGGTTAAATTAATTATCGATAGACTTGCTATGCTCTTATTGGTTGAAACGTATTTTACTTAGCTGTTTTGAATCCATCAATTTTATGTTTGACTAGTTTACGGTTGACTGTTTTTTGTTGTCTTACAATCTTGAATGTAAGCTCAAATTTACAGAATTATGATTAATTGTAGAATCACATGCATATTATATATATATATATATATATATATATATATATATATATATATATATATATATATAATATGCATAATTCGGATGGAAAACCTGTCTTTCTAGAATGAATGTGTCATTGCCATATGAAAATCTCCAGTTAATACTCAGTCATGTAGGGTGCCACAACGTTGAATGCCGAAAGAGAGTGAAATACCACCAAACAGTTAGTCAGGGTTAAAGAACGTTAAAGATTTTATAGTTAGGCTTATGAAAATACACCAAGTGCAACTTTGGATATCGGCTTCATATTCAGTTACTCGACCGATCAATTTATGGGATCAACATACCTAATTGTTGCGTTCTTTATCGTTATAATCGATGTCCGAGGTTATATGAATTAAGTAAGAACTATAATACAAATGCTCTTGAATACATATTTAAGTAATTGAATTTACTATTATATATAGTAGGAGTGAAGTACAATTGGACTGAACGGACAAAACTAGACTGGAATAATATTAGTATTGGATTAACACCAGAATTAAACTACTTCGTAACTGAATGAGATTTATATTGACACTGACACTTAGAATTGCCAATAACTATATTTAATTAGAAATAACACCGGCAATTCAATATCCAAAAATCGTTCTGTAGCGAAATAAATCTAAGGTTGAGTCAGACCAGTTGAATTTGTAATGCATTAATATGAATACAAAATGTCCAATGTCAATTAGTCAGTGTGTCTGAAGTATTTATGCATCAATGTAGTAATGGATCACGACTAACAAATAGATAGGACAACCAACCAGAAAAAGGAATATTGGAAAGACTTACATATTAGTCATTTAAATTTATCACACAACTGGGCACAAGCTAACCAGCACAATTGAACTAATGCATTTTGCAGTCACATGCTCGGTTAGACATTGTATTTCAAGACGGGTATACAATTATTTTCACGTCTGTATTAAATACCATACGAATCTTGAAAGAAAACTGATACAGATATCTCTATCCCCATTCCACGATTTTGAAGCTCCGTGTCTTAATTATGAAGCAGTAAATGAACTTGATTTTTGATGGTTTGAGATTTCTGGTAAATTGCTCGTTATCTTAATTAAATATATGTAGTGACTCACATTTATCACGAGAACACGACTGGTTTAATAAAAACAATTATTATTATAACCAACTGTACCAGTGTTTGTTTTAACGTGCTTTTGTTTGACTGTGCTAATGACAGCTATTTTGTGCTTCCATTCTTTACTTACAGTTTGATTGTAACTTCGCGCGAATTCGGTTACGTTCTGTAACCAAGCTTGTATCCTGGCACGAACTCGGTATCCTTTCGATACCACGAGATCGCCAGCGAATACATCTCGATTTGGTCCATTAACTGTCTTCTGATATTTGGCTTCTCGTGGATTTTATGGATCTATTTGGTTACGTCCAACCTTCGCCTTCTGATTTATTTGACACGTGTTTTTGGTAGCGGTGTTCATAGATAATCTCAACTCGACGCCACGCTACATATATACTCATAGTTGTGTAGGGCTTGTGAAATGTCACTGGGACCTTGCCAACTATCCGGCAATCATGTCACGGAATGTCAAACGGTTCACTGATCCTTCTCAACGTCAGGAACAGGCAACTGTGGTGTTTGAACGGACTAATGATACTTTTGTACTTGTTGATTGCACGATTTCGAATTCCAAATACAGTACATTCGCTTGTGCTTGTGTCTTACTTCTTAATTCAGTTGCGTTATCTCTGGCACTCTTATTTCGTACTATAATTCAAATAATTCGAAACATTATACAACGCGCATTGGTTAATTGCACACCATGGACTGGCCCATGCGGTGTTGGTTGCAACTTCTTCTTTGTAACTACTTTTACTATTACATCACTGTAATAATGTCCTTTGTGTTGTACGGTCATCAAAGCAGCCATAGTACCTTGATACGACGAAAGTTAGTCCACGTTAGGTGCTGGCCACGAGGTGTGACTTCGAAGTTAGCTGTTGGTCACACCATTCCCTCCAACTCGAGTGAGGCCCCAATCACTCGGCACACATCATCTATGTTGATGATCTGAAGTTGTATAAACCCTTATTTTGTCGATACTGTTTCCCATTTCCGTCAAAATACAACAAATAATTCAACAACGAGTAGAAAGCAGTGAATGAAATTAAAAACGTGTTTGATAAATATCTGATTCTTGGCACCTTTTATTCACGAAGTAATTTCGTCTTCATAACTCTAGATTTAGGAATATTGGTCCCACTAAATCCGTACATAGTACTACTCATTTTACTGTCTGTGATAATAAACCCTGAATTTCAGTGATAAGGCTGATTATAATGATCTGATGCCTCCTCTGTTTACAACTTCCGGTAATCTAATTTGCATTCGGAAACGATTATATATAACTGGTGGTATGTCTTATAACTTCATATTGACATAAAAGGCATCAAATCAACAATTTTAAAAAGGAATATAAAATCATTGACCTCCAATGTTCTGACTAAACCCCCTAATTATTCTATTTTTAGTATTATTGGCCATAAACTACTCGTTTTCAATGTTACAATCTACTGAATAATGATGAAAATCCTTCATTAACGAACTGAAAATTTCAAGCCACTGAAAATGAAATACAAGTACTTCGACTGATGAATTTAAAAGTGATTCAAGTACCAGCTCTTTTACTTACTTCTGGAAATAATACTGATAAATTGTTCATAGATCTCACTGCTAAGAATTCAAAGTGCAAAAATTTGTACTTGATTTTGAAATTGTCTTGTTCTAATCTTTAAACAAGAATGGCCAAATCATTAAAGACTGAAAACACTCCTGTTCTTCTGCGACGTTACAGGAACTAAGGGAGGGTGGATGAATTCATTCGGCACAAATAAGTTTAATCATCCCATATTGCAAGACCCTTTTTGTGTCTCTTGTATAAATAATGATAATAGTTGTATTTCCATTCTGAAAAAGCTTTTGTGGATTCGAAGTCCTTCGCAGCCATGGTTGAGTCTATATGATACGGCGTAAAATGCTTATTTAGTTCCTTTGATGGTTTTGACTGATAGCATATTTTTCACACTAATGTATTGAAGCCAGTGGAATATTTGCGACTGACAGAACTTCAGCAAAGAAACTGATACTAACCGCTTGTTTACGTCA